TTTGGGAGGTCATACTGCCGCCGTCATCAGGGCGATGAATCTGGCCTCCTCCACCCATTTGGCACATTCATCGCCCTGATGACGGAGGCAGTATGACCTCCGAAACGTTGGAAAACATATACCATACTACACGGCGCTACAACCCAGAAGACAGAAATCTTCATGTTTTTAACTGTGTGCGACCAAATGTTTTCTTTGCCTAGCTGAATAAAAACAAACAAAAATTAAAGCTTTCGATAATTGATGCCGTTTATAATGGTTCTGATAAATGTCTGCAGATAGCAGCACATTCAGTGCTCATTGCTTCACAAACTTTGCAGTGTTCTTCCAGCAGTTCGACGATTTGCAAGCTAGAAGTACAGAAATGTCTGCCAAGAAGTACGTAAAACGCCCCATAACTTACGAAACAGATCTAAATACTTTTTATAATTTCAAGATATCATACACATGTATACGTGGAATAAATTAATTATGAATCATGTAATCCCAATGTAGGAAACTCCTTTTGTTATTTACTGACGTTAGCTTTTGGCATTTGGAGGTTATGTCTGCATCTTGTACTTGTACTCTGTACATCTGACTTTGTTCAATGTTTTTCCATGTTGTCTGCAACAAATGACAATAATGAAAATAAGAATGTGTTTGGTAGCAGGAGAATATTAAACTACTTAAATAATTACCTACAAGAGACTCTCCTTCTAATGCCTACCATTATTCTAATGATTTTCTTTTGGACAAATTAGACTGATTTCAAAGCTCCTGTTTTTGTGATTGATACTAATGTCCTCATGGGGAAACATCGTAAACTTAGTTTAAGGATTATATATTCAATATGTGTTTTCCAGTTTGTTATTGTCAATTGGTATGCCATGAAATTTGTTTCTACTTCAGTTGTTTTAGTATGTTAAGATTAACACAAGTTTTAGAATAGAATAGAATAGAATGGAATTTATTTACATTCCATAGATCCTTCATAGGAGTAAGCCAAGGATGTAGAACAGGTCACAGCACAAATACAATACTTGTTTCTAGTAGAAAAATAAATACACAGCTATAATAGGTATTTACAGTTTGTTTTTTCTGGAACTACAGTATTACAGCAAAATAATTCTGATGAGAAACCATGACCATTGTTTCTTACATGTATTTATAACAGTTGAGACTTTTTGGTTGATGTAAATTCTTCTACTGAGTAGAAGGAGTGAGATAGGAGATACTCTTTTAATGCTGGCTTAAACTTTTCATATCATGATTTATACTTTTGATAGTAGGTGGAAGATTATTGAATAACTTAATTCCAGTATAGTAAACTCCTTTTTGATATTTTCTGAGGTTAGAACTTGGCACATGAAGGTTGTAGCTGTATCTTGTTCTTATATTGTGGATATCTGTATCTGTTTGTAATTTTTCCAAGATATTCACTGCAAATGATGGTAGTGAGATGAAGAAATCACTTGGTAGTGGAAGAATATTAAACTTCTTAAGTAATTTCCTACAAGAGTCTCTCATTTTAGTGCCTGCCATTATTCTAATGATCCTCTTTGAATGTAAAATACTTGTTTGATGATTCCATATGACATGATGGAATGGAAGTAGGCAAAATAAACTAATTTTAAAGTTTCTGTTTTCATGAGCGCTGCAACTGTCCTCATAGCAAAACTGCCAAGCTAAGTTTAGGATTAATGTATTGAATATGCATTTTCCAGTTTAATTTGTTGTCAATTTGTAGGCCAAGAAATTTAGTTGTTTCTATTTGCTCTATTATTTTATCATCATAGCCTATGATTTGATTTACACAAGTTCTGTTGTTGGTACAAAGTTTTATGAAGTTTGTTTTGTCAAAATTTAATGAGAGTGCATGGGCTTTAAACCATTTGTTGAAGCTGGCAAAGGCATCATTTATGCATTTTGAAATTAGTTAAATTCTGGATGTGAAATGATGATACCAGCTTCATCAGCAAAGAGAATGGGTTTAGACTGAGGGTGGTTGTTTGCCAGCAGATCATTGACATATATGAGGAAAGGCAGAGCACCAAGTATTGAACCTTGAGGCACTCCATGTTTTATATAGCCCCAATTTGAGTAGGCGCTATCATTTGAATCTGATGATTTTATTTCTACTTGTTGATATCTGTCATTTTCCATGAAAATTTAGTTTTGTCAGTAATAATTCATGTTTTACACAATCAAATGCTTCAGTAAAATCACGAGATACTCCAACATGCAATTTGCTGTTGAGAGCACATAAGATTTCATTTGTGTGATTGAACAGGGAGATGAATTTTTTAATCTTTGTGAGGAGTATTATCATTTTATAAGACGCCTAGCTTTGCCTTTTTTGACCACAAAGAGATTTGTTGGATCATTTGACTAATTACTAAAAATCTCGTTGTTTTACTTCAGATGGTTTATAACTTATAACTTATCGTCGTTAAAAATACGAACTAATAATCTCTTGGTCGTAATCAAAGAAACCGTCACCACAGAAATGTGTGTTTAATCATCTAATGTAAAAATGCAATAAGGAATTTCTTTGTTTTCAGACGAGATAGGAAATACTGACGGACTGAACTCCACTGCCCGCAGCGATCCTGACCAAAGGTAGGAGACCAATTCGACGTGTTTTGTGACGTATTACTTATTGTCGTTCATATGCTAGATTGTAATAGAAGCTTGTGGAAGCTTCTCTTAGTTGCACAAAGGCGGATTATATGAAGTACCTGATCGTCTAGTGATTTCCTCGTGAATGAACCCAAGCAGTTTATGTTTGCTTGGCAACTTGATTTTCGTATCGTCTCATCTCAGAGCAATCGCGTCTTCATATGACGAATTTGTAACAGTTTGTAATAGTTGCATCTCGCGAATTTGTTTTACCTTGTGGTCTAGTTACGTAGCAGTGTAGTTTAAGCTGTGGCTCTGTCCACTGATCACACATTCCGAAAGAAGATGAATTCTCGGCCTCTCAGGTGTGCTACGTTTATTTCAATATCCTTGGATTTGCTAATTTACTTCGTGGACGAAATTTAAACTGGAATGGAGCGCTATTTGTTTTAACTTTTAACTTCGTGGCTGTATATATTTTAAAATGGAGGACTTCATACAGTGAAAAATAAGAAGCATTGAGCGTGTTGAATAGTAACTTTAAATTTCTGTATCGTTTAATATGATTGGACGTAGTTGAAAAGTTAAGGTAGTAGTATTTTTCTCTGAAAGAACTGAAAAATGTGGGCAATTAATGAAGTAAATTCTAGTTTTGTTTACTGATACTAACGATTTATTATAACATTCTGCGTTTGTTCGTTGTGTTCATCCGAATACTGAGCGTCGCTTGATCTGTTTAACAACCATGATTCTACTGATAACTGTCTGAAACCAGGGGTGCAACTTAACATAATAACTAAATAAAGTCAGAATCGCAAAGGAACAGAGACAGATTTTCAGAAATTTTCCGCGTGATAAGTGAAGTGATCTAGTTGTTACGATGCAAAATCATATTCATTAATCGTTTAAGTGTAAATTTCGATGTCGTTTGAACGAATCTGGATATATCTGCTACAACTTAACAATTTCCAAGCCTTGAGTGTTTACGAGGTCACCCGTCTCGTCTTTTGTGTAGCAGCGCTGACTGCGTTTACACGTGTAATTGAAGCTCGGTGTTTCTTTGTTCTGTTCCGCTATAATGGGTCACATTCCGTTTATATTGTTAATATATGCCTAAAGTGATTAATTTTACTTGGGAACAGACTGTAAATGCAACAGGCCAGGCCGTACATGAGGAGTGCTTACATGATATGCTACGCTCATGCCCCGATCAAAACAGTGTGTCAGGTGACAGGTCACGAGTGACCCCGACAGCCTTTTGTGCCGAGAACTCCGCTGTAGTAGGTGTACCTATCGGCTGGTTGGCGAATTAAAATGCTAATCTTCGACGGGAGGGGCGTATATTACAAAACTAAATTAAATGATCGACCCTTCGTGTTTTAATTTCGAAAGAACGTACTTTTGGCCTTACTTGTGGGAAATAATTAGTATTAGAAAAAAAAACAGACATAAGCGTCAAGCTTTGGAGATCTCAGACTCATTGCTTGAGTACAAATATTATGGGGCAGATTAGTGGAAAAACGGAATTTGTTCATGACAGTTTAGTTTTAACACTGACTTCTTCCGGCGACGTGCGAACCACTTTTGTTTTATTGAGCGGTTATTTATTAACTCCATGACTTACGCAAATACAAAAATTATGATTATTAATGATGAAATAAGAATGATGTTTGTAAAATCGATGGTTAGCCG